ACCCCACTAAATTCAGAGGCACCAGGTCAGATGTGACTTCAGAGCTGAATGACTGATAAAGGAAATTTAAAGAGAGGCTTTACGCAATGAGAATAGACACAGACACTTCAACTGACCCCTACAGGATACCTGAAAATCATGCAGCATATCACTTCAATCACCTAAGTATTGTTAGAGGGTTTAATGCCATGAAAGCATCTTCAAAAGTTAGTTGCCACACCATCTGGGCTAGAAAACCTGATCATTCTCAGAAAAATGAAGATAGTTTTAGAACAGGAAACTTTAAATAAGAAACTCAAATGTTGAAATGGGATCTTCCATAAGACCTAGCAATTCTAGTCCTAGGTTATCTACCCAAAGCAAAAACACTAATTCCAAAGGATATTAGAGTGTTCATCACAACACTATTTCCAATAGTTAAGTTATGGAAACAACCTAGTTGCCCAAGGACAGATGCATGGATAAGAAAAGATGGTATATAGACAATGGAATGGAATACAACTTAACTGTATAAAAGGATTAGCTTCTACCATTTGTGGCAATGTGGATGGAACTGGAGAGGATTATGCTAAGCTAAATAAGTCAGATGGAGAAAGACAAATACTAGACAAACAGATATAGAAAAATAGATATCAAGAAACAAAACTAAGGGTCAGAAAGAACCAAATCAATAACAAAACTTAAAATCTGGCTATAGAATTGTGGTTACCAGAGGGGTAGGGTAACGGAGGAAGAAGTGGTGGAGAGATGGGGTCTAATGGAACATGGTAGAGAATTATTAGGCAATGGTGGTAGGCAGGATGTAAAGATAAACCTTTGTAGAGGTTGAAACTTAAAACCCCCAAAGAAGGTAACTTACGTATCACTGTCAAAGTGTGTGTCCCTTTAATTTTTTTGAGACAAACTATATTAGAGCTTCAAAGTCAGAATGAAGAGGATTAAATAAACCAATTTAAACCACTCCTAGTGATAGATCCCTCTTCTCTGGCCTGACCCCACTTCTAGTGCAAAGAATGGTCCTAACAACATGATAAGCACATCATCAATGTTATCATCCCCAGGATACTGTCATAGATAGACTTTATTGAGCACAGAGTACATACTCAGCATTTTGCCAACCAATAGCTCATCGAATGTCTACAACAACTCCATTGGTTGTTGGTGTTGTTTGCTACTATATTCCTGATGAGGAAACAGAGGCTCAGAATAAAAAAAGACCAGTTTCACCCAGTTTTTAATCAACCCCAAGGGCACCAAACCCAGGGCTGTCCACACCTATTGTGAAATGTCAAGCAGGGGGAAATCTCAATCCCTAATTAAATTGATCTGTGAAGGTGAAATATCCTTACTTGCCATCATTATCATATTTTCCATGTAGCGGTGACACACAATGGTTATTAACTATCTGTACTCTGTATAAGTTCTGATCCCTTCCATCTGTGTGATACTAAACTTTTAAGCTCTTTAAGCCTTTCAAGTGATAATCAGAGAGTTAGCAATATATGGTTCCTGTGCCAACCTCTGAAAATAAGCACACACAAAACATACTCAGGGGTTAAAGTCACAGATATCTTATGAAAGAATTATTTTGGATTAAAAACAATGCCTACCAATTATGAATATTGTGACAAATTCTGCTCAAACAATACACTTAGGGATGATGGCCTGGAGTAGGGGTCATTTCTGAAGCTTTAGCCATCTTTACAATGAGTCTTCTGTGAAAAGACATTCTTCAGAGAAATCTACCCCTTACACAAGAAAGAGTTCTTGAGATTGTTCACTGTATCATCTTGCTTTCCCAGGGAAAGCAAGAAACATACTCAGCTTCTCAGGTTCAGAATTGGGCTAAAATGCAGGTCTCCTCAGACCCCGTGTAGTTCCCTCTAGTACAAACATCTCTGTTTCATCCTACTCATGCCCTAGGTGTAATCCACAGAATTTGGACTTGGTATTGGCATACAAGTTGCAGATGGGGAGCCCCTGGGCTTTGCAAAAGTCTCCCTGTCACTCAGCCGTGTGATCTTGGTCAAATGTTTAAATCTCTTTGAACCAGTTTTTCTCTTTTGCAAATATGAAATTATTTCCTAGATTCTTATTGCTTCCGTAATATGTGACCCTACGACTTTCATCTCTCTGTGAATTACCCTCCACTTTTTACAAAGCACAGGGACCTTCTTTTTCCTTATTAAGATTCTCCGGATTTCTAGTGAATGATGTTGTCACCAAAATCCCAAACCAAACTAAGTAAAGGACAAAGCAGACATCTTCGGACAGGAAAGAACTCAGAAAATTTATTTCCCTAATCTCTAGATTTAAGATATAAGTAATGCTTAGGCACGAGCAAATTAAGAAACTAAGGAGTATGTGAGAATCAAGCAGTGATAAGACAAATGCAGAACTCAGAGAAGGAAATCCTAAGGCGATGATTGCATAGCATGCCTAGGCAACAGTTCACCTTGATCAGAAGAGGGGATTCTGCAAGGAATGCACTGAGGAGAAGATATGGAATAGATTCCCACAATTATTTGGAAGCTAGAGATACCAGTGGCATATTGAAAAAAAAAAGTGTATATCTTATATCTTTCAACAAGAACACAGAAAGGTAACTTAACACCAAGAGAAAGAGACTCATTAAAACTGACAAATGAAATAGGAAGCACAACAATCCAAAATAATGTACGAAAAGAAAAATGATTGAATCTGAAAGGCAGGCACATTCCTTCCATTGGCACAAGGTCAGGGTCTAGGGAGTTTTCAGAGAACAATTATCTTTGTAGCTGCAAGTTCCCGCTGCGGTCTGCGTCGTTAACGTGCCACGCCAATAAAACGCCATGTTCTTGGCTTTCGACTCAGCATAAAAAATAATTGACAACACATGGAACTTTTATGATACATACACCATACAATGCATTTTCACCACTAGTACAAGTTCGATGTGAAACTTTGCACAGGGAACACAGGTCACAGAAGTTGAGAAGGGGAAGAAGAGAGAAATCAAAGACAAGGATGCACTAAGAGTCACACAAAACCATCACAGCGATCACCTCTCACCGGTTTGGGTGCAGAGAAAGCAACTGAAGTGGGGAGACAGTCGATTCTAATGTTTGGGTTTTTTTTTAAGAAATAGAAGCCATGGGCTGAGTAGAGGATGGAAGTACAAATAAAGACAAGCCAAAAGGATTAACTAGGGAAGAGACAAACCAGCATCAAAACAGACATCAGCGTAAAAAAATAATAACAATACAAAATGCAACAAAACAAAAATAGACAATTCTAAATCGCAGACATCCTGCAGGGGAGCAGGAGAGGGATCAGAGGGAGGGAGGGAGGAGCCCAGGGGACTGAGGTGATGGTGCACGGGTGCCTTGGGGAAGGAAACTCTATGGGGACGACACCTGAGGGGGAGGAGGGAGCAAATATTGTATAAAAATGAACAATGATGTAAAAAATAAATTTAAAAAAATAAATTGTCAAAAAAATAAGTAAAATGCAAATAGGTACGGGAAAAAAAGAGTAATAGAAAACAAATAACCAGATTCACAGCATCAAAACAGACAAAATCAAAGAGTAACTCAAGCTTCATTTGTGGGTTTTCTCTTACTCTTTTTTCCTTCTGACTCTTCATCATCAATATGTGCAATCATATTAATCATGCATTTGTTTTCTGCCAGAATATTTTTAAATGATTTACTGAACGGTTCATTCCTCTTGCATGACATCTAGGGCAGTGGTTTCCAGTGTTCACGCACATCAGAATCACATACAGTGCTGGGTCCCAACACCAGAGATACTGGATAGAATTAAGGATTTTGAATTTTTAATAATTTCCCAAATGATGGTGCTGACGCTGCTGGCCCCAGTACCCCACTTTGAGAAGGCCTTCCTAGGGAACGCCTGGAAATATAACCTCATTCTGCTAAATGGAGTTTTCTGAATGATTTCTGTCTTTAAATAAAGTCTAGGTTATATGAAATAAAATAAGCTAGTTCAAAGTTTAAATCCTAATATGACTCCAACACTTAAAGAAAGTTCTTCAAGCCATAAATTTCTGCAGCCTTCAATAAATGTTGGGAAACTGGGGGTCACGGAGAGATTCAGTAGCACTGAACATGAGTTTTTACATTTGGTTTGTATGTATGTGTGTGTAGTTATATATACATGTATACACATATATAAATGTACATACTTATGTTTGCACACACATTTTTGTATTTTCTTCCTCCACTTGAAGGACCTGCAATCTGGAAGTTGTCTGCACGAAGTCATTTGTTGCATACATGATATCCTCAAGCCAATTCTGTAATAGAATCCTTAAAGAAACCTGAATAAGAATCTCTGCATAATTTGTGAGGATAGTAGTGCGTCGCTAATTTTAAATCCTGACTCTGGAAACAAAGGAAAATCTCACTAAGCCTTGACTTAAATATTATTCAGGAAAAATCATTCATTGTATGAAGGTCCGTTTAGAGAAAACATTTTTCTTCTCGCAGGTATAATTTTAGGCCATTTTGCTTCTGATCCTAAAGTTAAACTTTCAGGGGATGAGTTATTTTCAAATGGGGAAATAGACCCCAAAGTTCTTGGTCATCCTTTTAGTTTCTGCCTGCCTTAACAACCAATTATTTTCTTACCTTCTGATTTTGAAAATCTAATTTAACCACTGTTATGGACAGCATCCACACCGACGACATCTAACAGCCAGCCACGGAAGAAATTAATTATATTTCTTAATTTTTATTCTGTACATTTCCACACAATTCACAATACAGAAAAAGTGTCCAAAAAGTAACTGTAACTAGTCAATTTCCTTTTCAGAGATTAATTCAATCTCTCAAATTAATTCCATTGAAAATCTCTGTAGAGCAACACAGTGATCAAGATACTTTATATAAATAGGAAATGCAAGAAAATTAGGGAAAAATACTTTATGACTTTGTTACAAAAAACTCCAGTCTCCCCTTCCCCATCCCACCCAACCCTCCCTCCCTCCCGCCGTTTCATATTACCTGGATCCCACTTGACCTGGAAATAAAACTTCATCATCCTACTGCCACAGCTACTTTTTTTTTTTTAATTCCACCTGCTAGCTGGCAGCTTTGCAAAAGCATGGCTCTGAGATGTCATAGGGCAGAATCAGAAATCATGAAAGAGCCCTTTATAGTGTGACTATAACTCCGCAGACAGAAGCAGCCTTGGAGAGTGGCTACCCATGGCCAAGGATCTGGATATCCAGGGAACTTTCCCACTTAGAAATCAGATTTAAAATGAAACATATCCATTCTTATGGAACCGAGAGTGTCCTCTATCCCTAGCTTACAGAAATGGCTTGCTTTATTTTGAATCAGCCATGACCCATATGACATTCAGATTGATGGTTGCCCATTTAACCACGAGTAATTAAAACACACACACGCTAAAAAAAGCCAACATGGCTAACTTTTATTGGGACTAATTTGGACCCTAACTTTTCAAAGATGTGTTCTACAAAATATTCTATTGTTCTAGAATATTTTTGTCTACAAAGCTTCCAAGTCTCATTCCTTGGGATGGTGAAAACCCCACATTTCCCAGCTCTCAATCAGATGTCAGCAAACATCATTGTAGGTTCTGGTTAACTTGGGAACTGGGTTTGCACTGAGAGCCTTGGTCCAACCCTAGGGGAGGGGAGCAGCCAACTGAAAATGTGATTATTAATAAACCCCAAAAGGTCAGCAACCATTTGGATTCATTAAAACAGGTGTAGTAAATATGAAAGCCAAAACATCTTGTAAACATGATAAATCTCACCAGAATATTTGAGAGAATTACCCATACATTTAAAACTTAAAAAAAAAAAAAGTACACCAATTTATGGCTATCGTCTGTTTAATTTTACAACAAAAGGCAATGTATAAACCTCTCCTCACTTTGATTTCTTTTAAAAAGTAAAGGTTATATATAAACCCCAAAGTATGAAGGCCTTAGCCTCAGAATTTACAAGGATTGGATATATTTAGATTTGTGAAGAACTCCCTAAACTGTCCTCATTTTTCTCAAATTTTATCATAGACCAATATGAAGCAATGGACAAGTCTGACCTGCCATGAGCCCTTGGGGAAACACCTTCAGAAAATAACCCAGTCCTCTGGCAATCTCTCTGAGAAAGTTCTACTAGCAGAACCATTTCCCCCGCCCTGCTCCACAATAACCTAATTCTAAGTTGCAGAGATTAAAAATTTCACAACTGATACTACTTGAAGCCACTCTGAGGAAGTTTAATCTTTTTCTACACCTTCTGAATTTGCTTTTAATGAGCATAAAAGTTTGCTAAGTTCTCTATTTGGGGGTTGTCACAGCAATTGAATTAAGACTTGCATGTCATAGTATTCTACGCTTGAGAATCATTTGTTTCTCCTGTAGCTCAGCGCTTCCAGGGGTTTGAGGGAGATGGTGGAAGTAGTTTTCCAAGCAAGATTCCAATAATAAGCCCATTTCTTAAGACTTGGCTCAAGAGTGAATTCCTCCCCCACATAGACAACTTGAGATCTAGGTGCTCAGGCCTTATGAATACAGAAGGAAAGGTGAGAGATTAAAACTAGAGTTCACATATTACAGAAACACTACGGAGCCACAGGCCTAGTGATGTGAGGTTAGTGTCAACTCATCACTTAATGATGATTAGTAATAGACATTGCCTCCATGTCTCGTTATTACAGAAAATACAGAGAAATCCTGTCCTTTCAAATCCCAGTTCCCACTACACAAACAAAACAACAAATGTGTGTAGAAAGTAGGAAAGTGGATATTACACCCTTTGTTCAATTTCTGACCTTGTGATTTCTAAGCTTTTAATTTCTGAACTTGTGACTATTCTGTCTTAGTAGATATATTGTTCAAGAAATTTTGGAACTGGCTAGCAATGGGCAGTGTGTGTGTGTGTGTGTGTGTGTATGAGTGTGTGTGTGTGTATGTGTGCATGCGTACAAAGCAAACATTTTTAGGTCATGAAATACCTACTTTTTTAAAAGCTCTGGGATATATTTGCAATGACTTGAGTTTTTACGAAAAAGCTTTCAATGCTTTCTATATGGCAGGAATTTAGGAGAAAAGAAGTAACTCTAATTGACTTACGCTCCAGTCTAAAAAATCATAGAAATCTAAACCTGGAAAATACCAGAGAAATACTTAGTCTAAGCTCACTCACAATTAAGTAATTGCTTTTACATGATCCCTGAAATCGCTTGTTCATATTTTCATTTAAAGATTAGAAGAAACACCAGCAGCACTAACTTTGCTTTATTTTTGAAGAAAATTTAATCCATTTTTCCTTGATACAATGTTGAGGAAAAATTAAATCTTTATTTAAGTCATAAAGTCACCTCTTTTCATGTCTGGTCCTGATCTCTTCTGTCCTCATTGCATTTTTCAAATTGTTTGCCCTATAGAATGTGAATCTTCGAGATCAACTTAATCACTTCCTTCACAGAATAGGTTTCTATTCCGAAACCACTTTTGCCTTCTTTCCAGATCAAACATTTCACTTCTACATAGTCACTGATCTGCCCATATAGATGCTTTGTAAAAACAGATTTGGCACTGAGGAAGATTTCAGATCTTTTGCTCGTTCTATTTCAAGGGCAGTGTAACTTCTTGTAGGTGTGTGAGAATTCTGGCCAGTGACTTTGATGACAGCTTGGTCTTGCATCCCTACCCATAAACTCAGAGCAATGGCAATGTTCTCAACACTTTTAGGTACAGCATTCTAAAACATTCCAGGAGTGACTTCCAAAGAGAGAAAACAGTACTAATGATTTTAAATGCAGAGAATCAGCAGCCAGAACGTCACCCCCCTAAACCCCCCCTGGTACCAAAACATTTGATCTTTTTCTCTTCTTGAAATATATCCAACGTGATAAATCTCTATTTGAGAGCAAAATCTCTTGAGTTTTTTACTTCATATTCTCCCTCCATTACAATCAACTCTTGCTATGGGATCTTAGAAAAATATTTTTTTCCAAGGAGGCGCCTTCTGGGTTATGGAAATTTAAATGATTGTTGGGAAAGAAGGCAATAGTGGAAATTATTTCCTTAGAAAATATCTACTGCAGACATGTTAGCCTGTAATTTCTAGAGATTAGTTCTGGCTACAGTTCTACCATTTACTACACAAATCTGTGCAAGTTGAAGTCACTGCTCTGAGATTCCATGTATTTATCTAAAATGTATCATCTGCATTATCCACCTGGTAGGGTGGTGTTAAAGTTAAGAAATGTCAAAATGCATCCAAATACTAAAGCACTAAATTTTAAAATAAATATTGAAATTATAGTGAATAAACAGTATAGATTTGAGTTGCTTAAGCAATTTTCTATTGAAAACTATATGTACTTCCCTCAAGGATTGAGAATCATGACAGTTTCGGCTGCTCCCTCCACCAAAGAGTCTTATTTCAGATGTCATTTGGCTCCAAATGTTGAAACTTAGGGGAAAATGGATGGGGAAGCCAGGGCCGCTGCTTTCTTCTTTCCATTGGGGAAGGCTTCCCTTGCAATTATCATGCCAGCAGCAAAAGTGCTTTCCCTAATTGCCTTCCATGTACATTTACTTGGCTCCCAAATATCTTTTAGGCAGTTTTTCTGTGGTTATATTAGATTACATTTAATTCTAAGAATATCAAATCACAGCACTTTTTATATTGGATGGATTGCAAAACAGATTTTTTTTAATAAGACTTTATATGAGAGCCTAAGGATACTCATAAAAATCCATAATGCTTCCAGACATGGCTTAAAGTTATAACTCTTAGTATGTTTTCTTTTCACTGGCTTATTAATTCATGCAAAGTTGATTTTCAAAGGTTATAGGTGATAACGAAAGGTCATTCTCCCCAAGATTTTAAAGGCTCTCATGACGAAGTGATGTTTTAAAGATTAAAAGTCAAGATTTTCATAAAATTTTAAATGTAATCCTGCTTTCCACAAAGTCATTCTGAAAGAAAGAATCTACACCTCCCAGGATCTAAAGCAGGCCCTCAGATGACACACATCAAATGGGAACACCTCTAAGGTAATCGTGTGATGCCTGTTCAAAGATTCCCAGGGGCTGGAAGTTTACAAATCCATTTCATTCCACTTTTGGACAATATGTAGTCTCCTGATTTACATGTACTCAAAACCCACTACAACTGTTGCATATTGCTTCTAGTTCTGTCCTTGAGAAATAAGGAAACGAATTTCAGCTTTCATTTTAGTAGTGTTCCTGTCTTAAAGTCTTGGTTTCAAATATATTTTAAGAACAGTACAAAGCTTCCAAGGAAAAGGAAATACAAAAGATAATTTCATCATCATATTCATATTCCCATTTCAGATTTCACAGAGTGACTGGCAAACATGGACTGACTTATACCCCCGGTGTGAGCCCGCCTAGTCTCCTGGGTTCTTCTGTCCAGAACTTATCACATGGAATTTGTCTTTTCTCCTAGGTTGCCAGTTCCATGATATCAAGAGGTTATATCTTGCATTCATGCTTATAACCTAAGTATGGTGTCTGCAGCAGAGCAAGAGATAACTATATATTTTTCAATAGGTGGTTAAATACATGAACGTATGACTGATTCATGAAGACGGCACTGCATGCATAATGATTGCATACACACAAAAACGGACTCTGGAATAGAGCCACCATGAGGATAGTATCTAATATTCAAATCTCCACTTAAAAAATGCAATGCTGGAAAAGCCTAGGAAATGTTTTTGCTTTCTTTTCGGGGGTCAGTCCAGTGACTCTTGGTGTCCTGGGAGAGCAGGTCATCAAAGGCATGACACCCAGCTTAGCTCCCATATTAAGGCTCCTCATTCAACTGTGGCGAGACAGCCTGACCTCCACAGCCAGCTGGGGGTAGGGGGAGGGAGACCGGGTAGAACACATACACAATCCAGCCATCCCTCCCTACTTCCAGGGGACTTGTGGGGAGAGGGTGACACACACTGATGATAACATGAACATAGAAGCCACCAAGAGTGTGTGTTCTCAAGGCATGACTCGGTCAGAAATTTAGAAATGTCTTAGAAAATTTCTTAGAAAAACAAAGACTAAACCTATCTGGTACATGACTTCTCAGAATAAGGCTTGTAATGCTATGAAATGACCAAGACAAGAGGACACCGATTTATAAAGGGCACAATGAATACCTGTCCTGGAGGGCAATTTCATTTTGATCCATATGAACACAAAGTCTAGGGGAGATTTTGGCAGCTCTATGACAAAATGATTGAAGGTGGCAGGAGATCCAAAAGCAGGACAATTGCCACAGTCAGAATATTGCAGGGACTTGGGATGAACAACAGTGAGGACCAGGAAAGGGGAGCAACCAAAGTCAACTGGAGCATCTTGGTAAAGAAAAACCACACAGCACTTACAATCAGCTGAATATGGAGTTCAGAGAACGGGGAAATTAAAGATGCAGAGATAGTTCTATCAAGACCTGGAGCAGAAGCTATTTTGTACTAAATAAGTGTCAAGGATTAATCAGAAAGCTAATGGACATTTTTTTTTCCCCCGAAAATGAAAAGAATCCATTCAATCAGGGCAATTTTAGTTGTTTTACTGGATGGCTAAGATGAGCCATGTTAACAATAATCTATTCTTATTTTTAAATAGCATAACTGAATAAAATATTCAGCTGCTCTTAGTGATTTCATTACCTACTCTTACTGGCAAGAAGTCAGCCTCAGTCTCATACCTCAGCCTACTCATACCTCAGTCCATATCCAAGTTACTACACCTTCCTGGCAGGAGTTTACCCTAAATGGAATATCATTAGGCAACCTCCTGAGTGACCATCCTATAAACTCAGCTTTGTAAGTGGTATAAGCATCACAGAAGAAGGAACTCTCCACTTGAGATCCCAAAAGAACAGAGGCAAGTCTCTGGGCTCAGGGAGATTTCTGCTTTGTGGAAAGTGAAATAATCACAAGACCTCTTGGTGAGGGATTTTATGGCACAGGCAGGAGCAAACGCCATGTGCAGGTGAAGAGCAGCAGTAAGAGAACTGAGCTGAATAACAGTGTTAACTACAAAGAATACAGGAACATTCTCTGCTACCTTATCTTTGCCTGTGGGTGTTATTATACATATACAGATGGTGAGCACGCTTCTAAGATGTTTTCTTTTGTTTTAATCCTATGCAATATATGTGCGTATAGTCTACATACACATATATGTGTGGAGATAAATACATCTCTATATATGGAGGGCTTGTGTATGTGGAATGTTCTGACATAACGTATAAGCAACAACGTAGAAAGTGCTAACACAGCTTGTCTCTGGGGAGTGTGACCACAGACACCACACCAGCACACCCACCCTGGTTTCGCATGTGATACTTAACATGTGGTGCTAGCCCTTTCTATAAGAGGCATGTTCTACTTTTAGGATTGAAAACTCTAAATATTAAAAATAAAATCAACAAGTAGAAAAATGAAACTGTTGTCCCACATGTTCTAAGACACGGGTATTGTAAGGAGTCTTGTAAGTAAATTTCAAAAATCCTTTAGGCAAAGAAACTCTTGCCAGGTCCAAATGAAAATTAACTACCTGTTGAGTATCTCTCAACACAAACAGATCTGCTGAGCATTGAAAAGGCCAGGCATTAGGAAAAGAGAAGGAGCAATTGGGTGTGTGAGATTTTCCATCAATCATCACTAATTTTATGTCTATGTAAATGCCAGCCCCATGCTGTCTCAGAAATCACACTGGTTTCGGGTTAGTGCCTCTGCAGGGATAACCAGAACCCTCAAAGTGAAATTCCCAACTGTGGTATTTATTTACTTCTTGACTTCTGTTCTTTATCAAGTCCTTGAATGTGACAAAGCAGAGCTTTGCTGGGTTCCACTTCATTAAATGTGCAACCCTGAAATATCAGGCTTCAAAACTGACCACCTTTAAGGTTGCGTACTGTTGTCTTTTCACAACTCTCCATTCTACCAGCCTGATCTAAAAATGGAATTCCAGAGCAAATGAGGCTAGCACACAAAAGGCTCTGCTGAGTCAAACACAGAAGAAGGTGAGCAGAGGCAGCTACTCTTTGCAGTTCTGTCTCGGTAGGTTTTGCAGAAAATGATATTTCTATGGGTTTGCAGTTTTATGTCTTTTAAATTAAACTTATGAGAGTTTCCGGAGCAGGGTGAGACCATTTGCTCCTGTTCTTCCTGGTGGCCCATTAAAGGGAACAACACCTTCTACCTCAGCTGAGTGGGGAACTCCTGGAGCATCTGGCCTGTGATCTTTTGAAAGTCCAGACTGTCACCTGCAGTGATGAATTTAAAAAAGAAATGTGCTACAGGAAGTAGATTGAATGTTGAAGCCATTAAATATGTAATGGTTTTGCTTATTTTTGATGTTCATTTTTGGAAAGGCTGGGTCCTGGAGGTGTTTGCTTTTTCAAAGAGAGATTTGCCTTGGTCAAATATTGCTCCCCATCAATAATGTTGGACTGACTCTAATGCTTTTTTTTTTTTATTTTTTCTTGGTCTGGAATGATTTCCAAATGTAACAGGACGCCTCCAGTCATCAGTACCTCATCTATTTTCATACCAGGGATTTACTGGTGACTTCAATTGGAGTTATTTGAATTGGCCCATAGCCACCTAATCCCTAAATTTTCTCTGAGCTGCTTTGAAGCATCCCAGGAAATATGAGATGGTAGTTGGTTAAAAAAAATAGATCCTTCATCCCAACAATGACAGAGGGGCGACAGACGATGTGTCCAAATGCTTGGCTCCATCTAGGAATGGAAGGCACCAGCCAAAGCCAGATTCAGTCTGTTTTAAGGATTATATTTCTGTCATCACAACATCTCCTTGACAGTCCTACCAACTGAAAGACTCCCGGCAGAAGTCCCAGTGATTAAACTCTTCTGGAATATATTTTTTTTCCAGCTTCTGGAAACAATCTACTGAGTCCCTCCTTTCCTCACTGTAAAACCCAAGAGCTAGTTCCATTTCTAAGACTGACAGATGGAACTAGATTTCTCACAGCCAACCCAACCTCCTGCAACCAGGAATAACGCTCAACTTTTGATTTTGATGAAGACGAAGGGGAGACTTAGCCCCCATCCACTGAGAGGTTGTTCTCATGAAATACAGCACGTATTCTTTCAACATGGTGATCTCTGATCAAAATGTGACTCAAATAAGCAACATGGCATCACTGGAATTTAAATGAAATTCTGAGAAAGGACCGCTCAGGTTCACATGCAGAAATGGAACAGGGGAGGGACTCTGCCTGTGTCCATAAGCAAAGGGCAGAAAGCTCGGAGGACACCCATTCCAGTCTGAAACGAAACCCTTGGTCACCCATTTTCACGCTGATGTATACCCAAGTCAAGTTGACATTTTCACCCAAAGCTAGATGACTTTTCCCATTGATACCTTAGTGATCACAGAGTCCCAAATAGAGGTACCGTGAGGACCATCAGATCTGTGGCAGGGTTAGAAAGTGCAATTTCAAGGCCAGGCAGATATTTCTGGCTGGGCTCCCACAGTGGTTTGTACTGAGAACTATAGTCAGGGAAGTAGAGAATAGAATATACTAGACTACCCCATCCATGAAAACGGGGCCACAGTGCGGTTAGATGCCAACTTGGACCTGATAAGTAGAAGGCGAGGCATCCGTCAGGAAGATCCAGGCATCCTGGAAACTGGCAGTGGAACTCATAAAACAAGGCTTTGTCCTGGAGACAAGGCTGGCTTGGGGTAATGAAAACCAAAACTAAGAAGGAAAATCTAAAATGCGCTGCCTCTCACCACCGTCCCCAAGAGTCTATCCTTATTAGCCTCCGTGCCACATTCCAATTCCAAGCAAGACTGTTTTCTTGCTTAACTGTGTTATTTTGACATATGTTGCTACTTTTGCTTTTGCTGTTTTATTTCATGTCGATTAGCCTGCTTTCTATTATTACTCAAAGTTTGGAAGTAAACGCTGTCATAGTGCTGCATTTCCTGTAACCACAGTTCCCACACATGGTTTTCTGCTCTGCAATTTAAGCAGCACTTAAAATTGAGCTGCTCGGCCAACTAGCCATGGGCCTTTGTTTCATTTCTTGCTCATCTCTCTTGCAGCAAAAGGCAGAGATGGCTACGCACAGGCAGTGCGGAGCTATGCAGACAGCCCAAGCCGAGCCAGCCCTGCAGGGCGACAGCTAACAGTGCCGCAACCTGGGCCGAGCCCTGGTTACCTCTCTGAGGTCCCTGTGAGCACAGACAACTCCCATGCCACCTCACCATACCTCAGAGATATAGCACACGAGCTAGCATGACCCACGTGGACTTCCCAGTCCCTCTAAAATCAAAAGGGACTGTGGATGGGCAAGACATGCAAACCGTCACTAAGCAGTCTGGGTGGAGTCAGACTCAGGAAAGGAAGCGGTTTGACAGTTCTGTTTCTGCAGGACATCCAGAGGGTTTTTAAAAGACCTTCAGACAGTCTTGCGGTCTTCAAAGGCTGGATGTAAAGAGACTCGTATCCTATTTTCTGAATGGGTGGGGGGGTCGCAGTAGAATTGCGCGGTACCGGGCGAGGATGAAGGCAGAGGGGAGAAGGGGCTGGTACCATTTATATGAACATCCTTTGAATCTTTAAAATAAATTATACAGGTGAACACAGAAGTTCATGCTACTTGCTGGAAGCAGTAAGGATCAAATTCTGTGGAACTCGTATTCCACACATCCCCAGGTACCCTGCTTCATCCTCACGGGCTATCCGGTTCTCGGGTACATTTTGGTAGCCCTTAAAAACTGGTGGCATGGTCCCAGATAGATTCCTGCAGGAGAGAGACAGGTACATGGATTCCATCAGCTTCTTCCAGGGGGGCTACCCCATCGCCGGGCGGGCACAGGTGATAGGCTTGCTCAGGTTCTCTTTACCCAGCTACCAGGGTCAGACAGCAGTCTCCAGGTCCTCATGGCCAAGGATCTTATAGTTTAGGCGACTTTCTAGGTAAGCGGCTAGATCCGGGTCCCCCGCCTGCTGTGCTCTGTCTTGAGGTGTCTTACCCTGTAGGTAACAATGGGAAGGAAAGAGACACAAACACTTGGGATGAGATGAAATAACAGAGATAATTCCCAAAGAAGGATCTTTCCATGTTAATTGTTTAAGAGCCCAGAAACCACATTTAAGTCCATTATCTGATACAAGGATCACACTGAGCGAGCGTGAGAGGAAAGTTCCAGAGACGTATTTCTTTTGATACGGGGGCTGGCATCTAGGGAAATGGAGGGGCACAGAGTCTGAGCAGGAAAAAAATGTGGCAAGGAGATTTCTGGAACCTAGATGCTTTTTGGAAGAAGTGTGGGGGTGGATATGAATAAATAGGAAAACAGGCTTTTGGATGTGTCATTTAGGGTTTCTTTCAGTGTGCTGATCTCTGGGGAGCAACAAGCAGAGAATGGGAGGAAGAGATGGTTGTAAACAATCTAAAGGATCCCAAAACTTCACTAACTTCTCCCCATTTGGAGCTATCCCATCTTTCCAAAAGCGAGCTGCTCGCTGTCTATATAATAGTGAGGGAGGCTGATTTTAAAAATTTCGGCAACGTAGACAAGCATAAGAAGAAAATAAACTCACCAACAATTCCACTAAGCTAAACAACCACCATTAACCTTTCATCGAGTAAGTATTTTGTCTTTTGAGAACGCTATTATTTTTATCAAGACACAACTATATTTATATATATGCTGTTATAGAATGTATTTTTTCGCTTAGTAGTACATCAGACTTTTTATGTCAGTAACTGTTCCACATGGTCATTTTGAACAATCATATGATTTCTTGCAGCCAACTACAATGCTATGTGGATATATGTACACACACACACACACACACACACACACTTGAGATGAAGCCAATGAGAGAGTCCATGGTAGGAGGAGGGAGGGTCTTCATTCTTTCAAAGGCTTATAGGTATTACTTAACCCTCCTTGAAGCTTGTAGTTTTTGTTCAAGGGTATAGTTGTATCTATCTAAAAGTGATCTTAAGTTCTAAGGAAAGGGGAGAGGCATGGCCATTGTACCAAAGGAAAATCTCCACCCGTAAGTTTTACAAAAATTATCAAAGACTTCTCGGCCTCCCTGTCAGCGATCACCATGGATGGTGTGGGCTTGAATGAAGCTGCTCTTAGTGGCCTGCAAGGGTGTGTGAGATGAAGACAAGGCAAATAACAAGAGCTCTGGACTCTAAAATTCGACTTTAGTTGGGAATTGACTTTTAATCACTAGTTTAAAGTTGCTATAATTTTTATTCCATTTGTTTATGAGATTATTTCGCTTCTACTTCAGTATTAATGAGGCTGGAATTCTCACTTCCAAATCCTCAGAGAGATGGACCAGGTTGACTTCTGAGTTGATTTTTAAGGAGCTATTCTCTATCAAAAGAAATTCTCAAGATGCTGCTTCTCACTAAAAATATTTCAGCAGATCTGGCCATAATTATCATATTTGACTTCCACCTACATCAAATTCCGGAGTGGAAAAATGAAAGAATTGCTAAAAAGGATGAAACACAACATATTACTGCATATGTTAAATCTGTAGACCACAATGTGGAGCGAAAACTTTAATTATCACAATAGCACGTGTGGTATGATTTTATATTTAAAAAGAGACAGAAGAACAGACACACTCAAATGGGAAGAGAGATCATTAAAATGTTAACAGCATTTAGATGGTGGGATTTCTAACAACTCTTGTTTCTTGTATTTTTCTGCATTACTAGAAGTTTCTATGTTAGAATGCGCTATATTTATCGTTAAAATAATAAAGTTATTTGCATTTTGGGAAAAAGCATATAAATACATGACAAAAATAGGAAGGAATTTTAAAGGACATTGAATCCATTTATCTGATTCAGAAACAAAAACACAGAAAAGGCTGCCGGCCTCTGCTGCCCAGTTTGTATTCACCCCTCAATTTCACGTTGCGCCTCCTTTCACGATCTGAACTGAGTACAAGACCAGCCTTTTGTGTGATAAACAGGCATCTGTCCTGCTGTTGACTGACGGGGTGCATGCAGCAAGGCCACCCCCACCCCAACTCATTGGCCCGCCCTGGTTTGTGTTTCTCTGTCAGGTTATATATCAAAGCACCTGGGTGCAAATATCACCTGGAGAATATCACAGTGAGCAGTTAATCATGTAGCAGACTCGCTAGAATCCAGGCTGTGCTTAGTGGTGTGATGGCCTGGGAGGCACTGGGCAGCCGGGACCTCAGTGGCCTGCACTGGGCTCACACTGGCTCGCTCTCTCTCACTCTCTCCTGCCCCAGGTCAATGTCACTGAGCTACAACGCCTCCTTTTCTCCAGCCTTCCCCTGGTGCTCTCTGTGAAGTGAACACGCCAGGAGCAGCCTGACATCTGGCTTCCAGAGTTTCTGCTGATGCTTCACCTCTGCCTGCGGCCTTTCCTGACCTAGGTTGCCACAGCTGTCCCTCTTCTTACTCTTCTCACTGCCTGATTCTGAAGGTATAACACCCATAACCCAGAGGGACAGGACTTTTGTTGTGGGGGACGATCCTGCTCCAGGCCACAGTGCCTGGGTGTCAAGCAGATGGCACACCCGCGTGTGAAAGTTGCTGGGCTGGGCACGTGACTCTCCTGCATCTATCTAAAGGAGCAACTCCCAACCTTGTGGGGTTAACTTTTAGGGGAAAATATAAGAAAACAAAACATTTAAGACATAAAGGCACCAGAGTTAAGACTGTAACCATCTCAAAGCCAGGCCACACCATCCTGGGAGCCAACAGCAGTCACTTTGGCACCATGTCAGTCTTGATTTTCGGTGATGCTGCATGAAGTCGCTGAAGGAAAAACCCCAGGGGCTTCTCAGGAGCCAGGCCTATGTCTTTCAACATAGTCCCGGACCCTGCTCCTGGGGCTCTGGATCTCACTCCCCTCAACTCAGCTGCTGGCATCCGATGGGAGGACAACCCCGAAGCCTCCAGGCCCGCAAGCTCAGGGGTTTACAGAGCCCCCAGCCCACACGCACCCTCCCTTTGTGCTTATACATTTAAATTGCAGTTTCTCCAAATAAGCACTTTATTTTTTCCTCCTTTTTCCAGAGCCCCAGGCACTTCCACAAGCACAGAGAGGATGCCTTGGCTGCGGGCACAAGTGGAGGCCGTGGCGCTGGCCATCTTGTTGGGGGGAGATGCTTGCGCTGGCGCAGCCAGTTACCTTGGAGTCCGTCTTTCTCAGGGATGCTCCTGCGTCCACCAGAAGCTGGCACACGGCCCGGTTCCGCTGGCAGGCAGCCTTGTGCAGCGCAGTCTCACCCCTAAATCAAAGATGAAATGGGAAACCACCCATAGAGGAGCTGGGGGCAGGGCTGGGAGTGGAGGTGTGGGCGGCAGGGGGGTGGGTAGAGGAGTGTGAGACCTTGCTGCGATGTGCTGGGCTCCAGGGCCTCTTTCCTATCAGGGTGGGGGTGAAGGCTGCCAGGCACAGTCGGGACGTGGGTGAGGGAGTCTAGAAATACCTCGAGTTAGTCATCCACTAACCATAGTATCTGACGCCAGCCTCTTTCCTAAACAGTGCTGGCTGACTGGGCTCAGTGGTCACATTTAAACTACTGATGTCAGGTTCAGGGGACACTCAGTGGCACTGTTACACAGGCCGGTGTGTGCAAATGGGTCTCAATGCTGGGGAGCAATTCTGTCCATGTGGGCATCTATTCAGAGCATGAGGGGCTCTAGATGAAGCATGGCAGGAGTAGCAGGGGGTGGGGGCCACTGAGCACCCACACCACATACCCTCCTCACTCCCCCAACTGCATACACAGTGCTCGGCAGACCCCCCTCTGGCCCTATGGGGAATATCTCCTGGCCACACCCACTCTGCCTTACCCCCAGATTCCTTGTGAGTAGCAGGTGGAACGGGTGGGATGCAGGGGATATTCGGGAGCAGGGGGAGCACTTAGTGCAGAAGCCAGAGCTGTTCCCAGTCCAGAGCAGGCCTAAGGCCAGCCACTCGGCAGGCAGGCCAGGGGAGTGCCATTGTCTCTTCACTAACAGGGAGGTCAGGGAGGAGGAAATTCCCATTCTCGGTCCAAAATTGAAAAGACACTTAACACAAAGCATTTCCTAGATAATCAAAAGCAGTCCTTAGAGAAGGGAAACTGAGTGGGTCCCTACCCTGCCAGGAGGATGTGCGGTGCCTGGACAAGCTTTGTGGAGCAACGGGAACTTCTTCTGTGTCTAGTAATTCATAGCTACACCCCTTCCCTTCACTCTGGCCTCATCTACCTTCCCCCACCAAACCTACTCAGGCAATCCCCACCCCACCCAGCTTTACTCCTTGTTGGAGTTCTCTGAACTTTTCTTGTGGTTCCATAGACTCTGCGAGTCAGATGTTTAGCCTTTCTTAGTCCTCTATGGAAAGCAGCAGCTATTTCTCTTTTAAAGATTTATTTATTTATGCATACAAGAGCTGGGGTACAGGCCAGAGGCGTGGATGGTGAGAAGATTCACCAGAGACAGAGTGAGGAACAGAACAGGCAGGTCGACTAAAATACTCTGCTGAGGGGAGCAGCAGGCAAGGCAGGAGAGGTCTGCTGTGCCATGTGGGTAGCTCCCTGGCCGGGGATCGAACTCGTGCTGCAGTGGCTGTGGATAGCTTCACAGGCTGCGTCTTAACCCCTTGCGCCACCAGGGAGGCCCCAGTAATAGCTATTTTGCTGCCCTTAGAATAAGAAAGCTAAACTAGCATGGTCAGTTGGGGGCCACCCCTGAGGGAAGGCTTTTCTTTTCCACCAGTGTCTGCTTCTGAACCATAGACATGGCAGTGAGTGGAGTCCCTATGTTCTCAGCTCTCCATGGCTGCCTACGACTTCTTCCATTCTAGACTCAGCATTCCAGACTTCCCTTCTAGATGCAGCAGAATTGTTTTATTACAAAGGCTGCATTAGATCCTTCGGGTTTAATTTTCTCACAAACCCCATTTGAGAAAGAGCTGATATGATGGGTAAATTCAACGGTGAGTGCATTTATTTAGATGTCTCAGCTGTCTGCGAAGCACCATTGTAGACATATCTCGCTAGTAGGGAGCACTAAACACTGAAGACCAATAACCTTGCATGTCGTCTTTATGACACTGGACATCAATTTTAATTGCATAATATTTGATTTAGAAAGTTAGGCCTGTACAGAGAGAAATATGATTGAAAGTGGACTTTTTATTGCTCACATTAAAATTACCCAGCATGTGGCTTGCATGGGTTCTGAGGACAATGACATAAGGAATTCAACACTCACGTTTCGCTGTCTGTCATATCCAACAACTCAGAAGGTCCTAGACGAGAGGAGAGGAAAACAAGATGCCCATGAAAAATAAGTTTAAAAATTAACAATAAATATAAAAACTTAGAGTTGCATAATTGAAATGCCTTAGAAAGCTTGGTGGGCATTTGGTAAAATGACCACTACTGCAGGGTACCAGGAAAAAACAAAAGAGAAAGATTCCCCAAGATCTCTCTTGACCTATTTCAGTTGCCACCAGCCAACAGGTACAGAATGGGAGACACGAAGGAAGAATGTAGTTTCTGCCTTCAAGAAACTTTCTATCAAGTTGAAGAAAATCAAGGAGAATCGAGTTAAGTGAGAAATGATTTAAGTGGCCCCTAGGCAGAGAGTGGACAGTGAGGTGGGCTTGGCTTGTTTCTTCCAGCAACAGGCATTTAGGCTGGGGTCTTGGGAACTATAATGTTGAACCCACAAGACATGATTTATATCTTTCAGTCCAATCTCCTTAATTTTAGAACCTAGGTAAAATTCTATTTTTCATAATATTTCCCTTGCTAGAACAGGAGGAAATGTTATGCACAAGCATCCGCGGCCTCAGATACCTGGCTAGGAAAAGAAATGCTCTGTGAGTTGTGCATTCCCACTGGCAGTCTGCAAAGAGGACTTGCAATGTCCACCACCTTCCTGTCTTCTGCACCCTGCCCTCCTCCTGGCCTCCCCGAAGTCCCTGACCCTAGCCATCCTGCGCATGACCGAGACACATTTCTCCATCAAGCCCTCCCTGACCCCAGATGCATTCAATGCCCGGCCTACTGCTTCCTTGCTTGGTATCGTGACCCATGGTGACAGCGTTCATCAGCCAAATTGAGACAGCCCCAACAAGGGGGCATGCAGGGGTCACCTTATTTATCATGACACCTGTTAAATCATATCATAATCACCTGCTGACTTGTGTCCACAACTAGACTCTGAGAACCTCTTGCAGTTTGTCCTGCACCTTGTCCAGCCCGTGTCCTTCCTTGGTGCTTGCCGCAGTAGCCTGGGCTGAGAAGATGCTTAAAAGTTCACTTGAATTAAAGAATAAATTCAGTGGAAGTACCAAACATGGGTCTAGTTATTACATAGTCTGGTTTTTGAAAATACGACTCTGGTCATATTGGTGGATATCATTATTATTCAAAATTTACCTGCGTGATTACTAATGACAAGGAAAGGAAAGAAGAGGTTAGGACTTTCTAACCATAGATGTCACAGGATCCTTACACTCTTCCCGGTCACCCAAGAGCTAAGTCTCCCACTTTTACCTTCTCTCCTCCACATGTGCTGCTCATTAAAACTAGGGGGAACCGTCCTGCCTATTAAACAGGCTTCCTCCTACCAGGTCTCTGCTGGGAAATAAGGAGCCTGCACAGGCTATGACAAATACCTCATCTCGATTTCCAGGATTCATCACATCTGCCGCCTGCTTCCAAATATTCCAATTGTGCTTCTTGGACTTTCCCTCGGAACAGTCCTTATTCAACTGGTCCCAACGTTGCGTTTGTTTTTTCTAGAAGCTAAACTGCACAAGCACCCAAGGGTTTCTCAGCTTCTCCCAGCCCCATGAGTTTGTCCTCTCCCCTCTCCCCATACCACGCAGCCCTCCCTGCCTGGCCACATGCCCCAATCTCCCAATCTTCTTCACAGGCCCACCGTGACAGGGTCCCCGGAGAAGACCCCCTGGAGGGAAGAAACCTCTCTCTTCTTGCAGTTCACATAGCACTGACTTGGTTCTGCCCTTCTACTAAGCCCTCGCCTTTCAAAGTTATGCCTTGTTTCCATAAAGAAATTATTCTAAGCCCTTGGGGTGTGAGAATACTTTTGATTTTCACAGTCCTCGAGTATGTATCAGAAATTACAACTCCACCAAGATTGAATTCATTCATTTTTGCTCCTCAGTCTTATAGGGCCTGAAGGAAACACGAATGACGCCCCCCCCCTCTACACACACACACACACACACACACACACACACACACACACAGACACAGTGAGAGCAGAACTGTTTGGTGACTAGTAGTGAGGCTCTGGGGCCGACAGCCTTTGGTTCAAAATGCCACAGCTCAACCTGCCACTGACTAGACCCTGGGCAAGTCTGTTTAATCTTTGTCTCTACTGGTACATGGTAAATTCAGCATTAATAAAGACATATATCTCCCAGGATTGTTGTGAGATTTCATAAGTCAATACAATGTGTTTAAGGCAGTGGCTGGCACAGCATACAGTGTCTAAGCTCAGCCATTGCGTGTCGTCCAGTATAATCCAGTGACCTGTTCTCTGACGTGACGAAACGGGCTACACCCGAGTCCAGATGTGAACTTCAGTGAAGGAAGAGGCCGCCATAGGCCACTTGGCTCCCACTCGCACCTGCAGCCACTCGTTAACTGATGGCAGGTGCAAGGACTGAAGAGTCCAGGCTCACTGCACGGCCAACGGGCCTTCCCCACAGGTCCTTTCGACGTGCTCCGTCACTGCCAGCAAGCCTTTTGAGGCATCTGGTTTAAAAGGAATTCCACGAACACAAGCAGCCCAGCCTCACGAGGGGCCCTGCCCCATCCTCAGGGCTAACTGCACAGACCTGCGCTGACACTGGCAGCTCCTGGGGCGGGTCCCTGAACCAGACTCCAGGCCTCCAGGCCTCCAGGCCTCCAGGAGAGTGAGGTGAGGCTAAAGCAACTGAATCTGTGCTAACACAGCGACTGTCTGAACTCTGGAAGAGGGGCCCAGGAAGACACGGACCATCTGCTTCAGAATTTCTGAAAAGAATTTCTGTACCCGCAGCCAGCCCAGGATGGCCCGAGTGGACACGGTCTGTGAGCTGGGCATGCCTGTGCCTGCCCCCGCTCCTCAGAGCCTTCTCACTTCTAAGCCTCTGCAGGTGACAGAGAAGAGGACAGCGCTGACACTGAACAAGATGTTTTTGCTCTTAAATAATCTCTAAAGAAACTCCAGTTAAAGGTTTGGGGAATGGCTCTGGAAGGATGGGTGATTAGCTCCAACGTTCCTTATCCCCAGTCAACACACATCCTCACACACAGCAGGATATTTTGAACACTGGTCAGTGACTAGGCATCCAAGAGAGAAGGGAGGTGGCTGGCTAGCGATGGGTAGGAGGAGGGAGCTATCCTGAGCCGTTAGCAGGCACATTTTCTAATAATTTTTATACCTGCTTTAAAACACCTGTGTTTGCATCACGCCAGGAGGGGCCTGCAGAGGAGGAAACTAGGTGAATGCCAGGGGCATCGAAGACAAGACTTCATTTCCTCCCCCATGTGTATTCTCCGGGAACTACTGGGAGCAGCTCTTAGTAGTGTTTGTGCTGCTTAGTGGTGCTGGAGTCAGTTTAGGGAGGAGGAATCAGATAAATAAAAATAGCAACAAAGACCACAAAACTTCCCCTGAAAGAAAAAAAAAAGTGTAAGAAAACAGCATCTATCTTTTTTGGAAAGTCAATTTAAGTCACACTAATAAGGAAGAGAACAGAAGAGAGATAAAGAAAAAAGTCGGAAGTCCTTCTACCTGTATTGGTGGACAACAATTGGCTTGGGGTGTGGGTAGTTCACAAGTAACTCTATCCCCTGCTGTGTCCCTAAGGAATTTGAAGGAATACCATTACACTGTCAGCAGAGGTTTGGGGTTATTCCTTACATATCAAAAGAGTCTTGACTCTCTGATCTTCCAAGAGTTTACTAAAATATCTACACTCCAGGCTGCAGCTGATCACAACTGTGAACACAATCAGAACACAACTGTGAAATCCTGGCTGAAGGGGGCTGGGTGTAAGTTTCTCCATGAAACTTACAGAGAAGATGACCAGGCTCTTCCCAGTCCTGTCAGTTGTCAATGAACCCAGCATAAGACACTGGTAAATCTGGGACTAATAAAGATATTTATCTCTCAGGATTGTTGTGCGATTTCATGTCAATACAATGTGTTTGAGGCAGTGGCTGGCACAGCATACACAGTGTCTAAGCTCAGCCATTGCATGTCGCCCAGTATAATCTAGTGAGCTATTAGCCATCCATGCTCCTTTCTCTTGCTGTGTTTTAGGAATATATAGGGCAGAAATCATATCTGATAATATGCTAGTTTTGATTAACAACTTCACTTTGTTTCAGTTTTCACCACCTCTCAAACAGAGGTAAGCAAACTTAGCATGCATGGCTGTTGTAAGAATTAAAATGTGTTAATACATACAGCATACTCAGAACGACGATCAGCAGTAAGTATTACTATAACACTTTTTTCCTCAAAAGTGTATGGGACAGAGTTTACTTTTTTAAATGAATGAATGAATGAATGAATGAGAAGCATTTTAAAATCAATGTGGACCCCAGTCAATCACATTTTTCTCAGAGAAAGAACCATAATTGGGGCATGTATTGAAAAAGACAGTGTTTTATGGTAAATAAACTAAAAGTTAAGGGAAAGAGAAAATATATGTGAAGAGGCTACAGGAATTAGCAGCTAAGGAAGGACAGGAATACCAAAGGAGGCAGAACTAAAATCTTTCAGAGGAGCTAGTGCTTGGGGCAGTAAGGGGTGGAGCTTTACAAATTGCAAGTGAATTGCCCTGAGCTCATTCCAGAGGCTCTTCCATCAGACACCCAGGTTCTTACATCAAGACTGTCCTTGTATTATATATGATGTGTCTTTTGTAACACGTATCCTTCAGTTTGCTTCCCACAACAAGGCCTCCAAATCCCCTTCGCCATCCCTCCCACCTCCCTGTGGCCTCTCTCTCCAGACCTCATTTCCCGTGAGTCTCCATGACGCTGCCAGCCAACCATTCCAAACCCTCCTTGGCCTCGGGACAAAAGCCGCACAGATGTGGGGAGAGCTGGCACTGGGAACACTCCCAGCACCGTCATCCTGTCCCAGCGGGATGGTGGTCGTTTTTTCTCAGGGGACCAGAGGCAGAAAAAGGGGGGTGAAAAAAAAAAAGAAAAGAAAGACTGAAGGCAGAAAAAGAGGGAAGACAAAATAAGCCATTGAAATCAAAAAGGAAATGCATGAGTGCCATTTCTATCAGGACACCCAGTGGGGGGCAACGGGTGGGAGTGGGGAGCACAGAAACAAAAGGGGAAAATGTGCACAACACAAAAGTCTCTGGAGGGGTAAAATGAGGGAGGAGGGAGTGGGTAAGAAATAAGGTTGAAAGGAGTTGAAAAAGCAGGGGCTGCTGGGGGCTCTCAGCTGGAATCCCTCGCATCCTCCTGGCTCCACCCTGTCCCTGGGCAATTGTTAAGCTTTCTTCCTGGTCTTTCCTCTTTTCAAGCCTCCAAATGCCCAAATTCCACTTTTTCATAAAAGAACGCAGCATGCTGTATATTTCAGAGCAGTCCCAAAGAAGATGCAAGATGGAAAAAAAACACCCCAAGCATCCTCTCTGGCTTTTCAGATCACTCTCCACAGCTCTTACTCTACCCCCAACCCCCGGTGGTCTTACAAGAGCTCTCAGAAAAGAAAGAAACTGCTGGTCATCCCTGTGTCTGGGAGGGTAATAACCTCTTGAGTTTTTGAGATTCCTGGGCTAGGGCATAGTCTTGATTGTGGCCCACATAGTTATGGGGAATATCCAGGGGGAAGAGGCCAGGCAGAAGGCAGAGGGGCTCAGAGCATAAGGATGCAGTGAGTCACATACACGAGTCACATACTGCATTAGCCCCGCACCTTGAAAAGGATCTTCTCGGAACTTGTTCCGACTTCTCGGAACCCTTGTCATTAAAGGCATCTTTACAGTCGGTCTTTGAACAGGACTTAGTCTATGAAGCGGCAGAAAACACTTGAACTTGTGAGAATAATTTCCCCAAAAGGATCCGGCCTTTCTCTACATGTGTGGCGTAAACTTCTTCCGATAGTGTCACCTTGGAATGGGGAACTAAGGTCAATTGAGGTCCACTGTCACTATCACTATTACTTGAAGAAAGCAGATTATTTTAAGTTAAGAGCCGAGAAGGCCCTAGAGCCTGCGAGAAGCCATGTCCTTATCTCAGTCCTTTTCCCTTTTCCTAAGGGAAAGAAGTGATCACAGCTCCCCATTTTTTGTGACCTAGAAGAAATATTGTTGTTGGGGACAGGGGAGGGTGGCATCTCTTTCAGATGTAGGTGAGCATGTTCTCCCTATCTGAAAAGCTCTGCTCACTCTTAGGATGAAAGACAAGGTCACCCCCTTTTTGTCTCTCACATGAAAGTTTTCCCTTCTTTCTCCCTAATGCCCAGCTCCTTTAATACAGGATCTATATTCCTAGTTTGCCCCACTTTGCTTTAGAATTTATCACCATGTAAATTCTCCATGCACACATTATTAAATTGATTTTTCCTTTACGAACCTGTCTGATGCTTTTTGATTACTTATTCAGTCCAAGAAGAACCCACAGTAGTGGGATATCCTCCCCAGCAACCCAACCAACCTACTTTCTAAAAAACTAAAACTTAAAAAAAAATGCAGCTATTAAGATCAGGGAATGTCTCTCGATCTTTGGCACAGGGCAACATTTTCATGCATTTATTTTTTGCATGTGTGTGAATCCAAAATGATTACACCCACCCACGACAAAACTGATGGTGATTTATGAAGACTATGTCATCATCTGGCAACTCTCCCCAAGTCCCAGTCTCACTGAGGCCTCTTGGTAAAGGCAATTTTCTTTGTCAGACTAGAGGAATTCCAGGGTCATCATCATTCTTAAGTTAGGAGGGAGAGAGGATTCCTGGATTGTGTTGTCACTCAAATATGATGGTCAGTGACTGCAGAGAGGGCATGAGAGTATTGAACAGCCTAAGGCATGTGGCGACATGTCCACGTCACGGGGCAAGAGGCAAGCTAAAAAAGAAAGGACTTGGAACAAGCCACAGAACAGCACAGGTCTCCTTTGAACCTGAGCTAAAGGCAAATAAGTGACAGAGTGTTTGTGAAAACACCGAGCTCTTTCCTATTAAGGCACAAGTACCATGGGAGCTGTGTGACTTGACCCATTTACTATAGTGGTGGGTCCACTTTTTGGTTTTACGTCTTTCAGAGAAGTCATTCTGAAGAAGGAAAACCACTCGTGATTGTGTGTGTGCGCGCGCGTGTGTGTGTGCTTGTGTGTGTGTGTATGTGTGTGTATAAGCAGCAAGCAGAAATTATGCCACCATGGGTTTTGCAAGCTTTGCCCACAGAGGAACTCTTTTAACTGCAGAGAGGAGACCAGTCAGGGGCGCAGGAGATGGAAAATGCAGAGCCGGACACAGCACCAAGAACACCTTATCTATGGAGGCTCCTGGGTGGACTGAGTTCTTTATCCTGGTCCTATTTTAACACTCTTTCCTTTTCCTAAATCACCGTCTCCCACAGTCCAGGGCAAGGATCAGGCAAACCTTATATAGTGAGAAGGTATCGAAGACGAAGCAGCAAGACAACTCTAATTTGACTGCCCTTCGAAGACTGACCTAATGAGTCCTCTGTAAGGACTAAATGATGGGATATCATTGTCATGTTTAGTATAAGCATCTAGCACAGAACATGTGCTGATAAATGGTAGCTATGTTATCTCTTTGTGGTCTTAAGATTTAGTTTTTCTTTACCAGCAAATGCTTGAAAATAGTCACTCTATTTTATTTTTGTGAGTGTGCTGGTCCGTAACAGGTAGTTCCCATCAGCACTCCGCAAATACTTGTTGAATTACTGATTAAATGAATGGATGGATGGAATGGGACATGCTTGTTAAACTGAATAAAAAGGGGAGAAAAAGGAATGTAAATATCTATTCTTAGGATTACTGTGCAAGGTACAGCAGATCACACCACCCAAAGATTCTTAGAACTGGTCTCCTTAAGATTCCCTGCTCTGGCTACAGAGAATTTCAAGTTAAGATCAGTGAAACCCTGTGTGATTGAGAAGAAACATCTGTTCTTGCCTATGTCTTCTGCCCTTTCTCTAATCGAAGAAGAGACGGTTATGTGCTAAGTTTCTGCTCTTTTCCTAACTGGAGAAGCAATCACTGCTCTTCCTTTTATGACCTTGAAGGATGCAGTCTGAAGGGGTCTCATCCAATTATAGGTTTATCAGTGACCATATCTTCTCAACAAATTCATTTTTTACTCTCAGAGTAAGGATGAGGTAACCCCCTTCTTGTCTGCCATGTACCAGACCACTGTCCTCCCTCCACCACTATCTTGATGCCTCTAAAAATTATTCTTTAGAATGTCAACCACATAGAGTTCTCCAGATATATCACTATATTATTGATTTTTTTTCCCTTGCGAGCCCATCTGATGATGCTTTGATTACTCATCAAGCTCGAGAAGAACCCAGAAGGGTTCAACCCAGAGTTGACGTCCTTGTGTCCTGACAATTTACAGTCTAAACTGAGGTGCAAATAGGGTCACCTGCGAGGGCTTGCAGAGAGTCTCCCAGGGTCACCTTGTGCCATATCTAAGAGGGTAGAATAGTCCACTACTCCTGTAAAAACAGCCAAGTCAGGCCAATTATATTCTCTTTATTCCTAGAAACACTACATGCAAGGGAAGCTGGAAGCAATGGTTGAGATTTGGTCTTTATCACATGCGTCAACATCTAAAGGGCTATTAGAGGAAGATTCTACAAGCCACAGCAAAAGGGCTGACACTCCAGCAAAAGAGCTGACACTGAAATAGAAATTCCAGTTAAGGAGCACTCTAATAGGTGAGCGTGGCCTGCCATTGAGGACATGAGAGCACCAGCCATTTTCAAAGAGAATCGAGTGTGACTTGAGTTGAAAAAATGAAAGAGATTCAAACAGCAGAGTGAGAGAGAGAACAAAGATGGAAAAAAATATTGCTCATCAATCCTCAGAACAATTAGCTCTAAATATGGGTTAGGAACCAGTTAACTTTCCCAAACAAAAACTCTTCCCCAAAGCACATTAAGCCTGGCTGCATTTGTTTTTGTCTTTCATTTTTTTTTTTTTTTGTATTAACTAGCTAATACCCCCTGCAAAGATCTCAACATGGAAATGATTTTTATGACCCGCCTGGTTAAGTGGCCCCTCTGTGTCAGTTTCTGCAAAGCTGGCTGCTTCACACAAGCAGGGAGGGTCAGCTAAAAGTGGGGGAACATTCCCACCACCCTGAAGACATCCTGGACTGGATGTAATCAACTTGGAAAATGCTCCCACTGGGGGTCGGAGGCCTTGGTTGACTGTGCTACTCACCGTGGTCAAGGAGATACTTGACGATCTCCCCGCTCCCGGTCTTAGCTGCGTAGTGAAGGAGTGAACAGTGGTCTGGTCCCTGAATTAGCAGGCTGCCTCCGTTTTTATAGCTTTCTATTAGCTGAAAAAGAGAGAGAAGAAAAGAAGTTCAGGCAGCATCCAGACAAGGCAAACAGCTGACCTGTGGTAAAATAGGAGCCATGTAGCAAACATCTTCCCCCCTCAGAAGATGACAGAAAAGTCAAGGGGATGAAGCAGCTTTTCTGGGTTACCACTCCACAAGATGGCCAGCCGCACCAGTTCTGGAGAGGGGGTGTGGGTGCAGAATGGTCTAAGGAAACAGGAGCACGCTGAATTACTTATTTCTTTTATGCTCTTTTTTTCTTTGCTGGGCCGTGGTCTCTGTCCCAAGGAATTGAGGGATGGGGGTTGGGAGGGAGTTTAAGGAAGAACCAAAGCTTCCCTGTGTTTGCTCAGCACTTACTACAGGCTACAGGCAGGGACAGTTCAGTGTCTGCTTGTAAATGCCTTCCTTGTCCTTTACTTTTTCTTTACTCTCTAATGAGGCTAGCTACTAAACAGACGCTGCTTCCACTTCCCTGGTGAGCTCACTGCACACACGCACACAGGCGAATGCACAGCTCTCCTCTTATCCAGCTCGGAGCCCAGCCTGTGTGCCTTGGTGCTTCAACCCACACATGCCCTGCAAGGTCAGAGATGCTCTGTGGGATGGAAACCAGAAGGACTCAGAGGACACTGTAGGAGAAACTAAAATCTGAGAACAGACTGGAAAGCAAGCCAAACCGTGCAGCCTGACAGGAAGGTTGGCTACGTGAAGATGTGGTCTATGTTTGTGAAATATGGAAGGTCATGGAAAGAGTAAGTGGGTCTCGGTTCTCCACACTGCAGGATAGCAGAAGGAGATGAGCCTTTCTGGACCTTCCAAGAAGTAGTTGTAGGGCAAATAAGGATCAAATAGTCCAAGAGGTAATAACCAAGAGGAACGTGTTTACCAACAAGAAGTTAGATGGCACCATGTTACCAAAAAATATCAAACATCCCATTAGGTCAAAGAGTGGGAACTCATAGTTCAAGCTGTCACTCAGACACAGCCACAGAACAACCATGTGCCAGATGCCGGGAGGCCAAGATGAATACGATCCATCCGATGGCCTCGGTGACCTCGCAGTCCATGGGGGACGGAGATGTGTGAAGATGTGCACAGTAATGGAGAGGAGGGTGGTGAAGTCATCCTCAGGGATAAGGAGAGCATATCACAAGGCTGGGAAAGTGCCCTAGAAGACTTCCAGTGGAATGGAAGCAAGACACATCCGGGGACTTTCATCCCTAACCTTGGAGCAAGACGACAGGAAGAAGTAGCTAAGTAGCTAATCACATCCCACAAATATCTAAGAGTCCTGTTCTGTTTATCTACATTATTTTATGATGATATTCCCTTTTATTTAATGGGCAGATCCACAGAGGATTTGGGGTTCAGATGCAAGCCATCAGCAGCCTTCATGCTTTCTTTCTGGGGGGGTTTTCGGCCCTGGGATCATTAAGTTAGTCTGTGGACGTCTTATGCAGCTCAGCCGTATGGGAGCCGTTGGAACAGCCTTCACACAGGGGCTTCTGGACCTGCTCGCTGCTCAGCAGCTTGTGCATGCACGCATGTGTGCACCTGTGCTCGTGCTCGGTCTTGCACACACACACAACACACACACACCCCAAAGAATAATACTTAATCTTCACTGTGCTTTCTTTATGAAAGAGAGAACTGTAAGAAGAGAGAGAAGGAAAAAAAGAGGGAAAAAAATACCTGGGAAGGAAAAGAAAGAGCATTAAAAAGAAAAATCCCAAGCCCCTATATTTCGTTTCTCAGTAAATAAGATTTGAAGGCATTTCTTTGCCATCTAGGATGTAATTATAATCCAGGCTGTAATAATATACACAGGACAGATAGAGTAATTTCCTGTCTCGCAAAAAATTTTCTATCATGTACCCAAAAATGTGTGATAACACACCCGGGGATTTGAGAAATCTGTTACTGAGACTAAAGGCATATACAAAATAAAATGAATAGGTTTCAAATGTACAGTTTACACAATTTCCGGGCTTGGAAGTTAACAAAACAGGGATCAAGCCTTACATAGAACCTAGCGGGAAGACTGGGAGCGGGAAGAGAAAGTGTGCAGATTTAGGGTTAGAGGAGAGTGCTGGTTTAATTCACTGCAGGGAGAGGGTGTTGACTCACAGCTACACTTGTTTCCACACTATAATCTAGACAGGGTGAGAGCGCTATGTGTCTAAAGATAGTGCATCTAGGTGTTTGGCATCTTCTCCCTCTCTGCTTGTAACCTGTTAAAACTGTATCACAGGAGTCTCTCAGTTAATTCCGCAGCTGTGTCTCAAAAGAATTTGTGCACCAGGGCAGCGCTTCCAACTTTCTTTTAAGGCTTTGGTTTCTCAGTCTGCAATGGCACCAAATTCTCTAGTCAGATGAGGAAGAAATATCTCTGCCCCTGGCCGGCTGCTGGCACTACACAGCAGGTGGGTACAGGCATGGCTCACACAAGACATGCAGGCAGCTCTAAGAGCAGATGCCACAATGTGACATGAACCAAATGAGCTTTCAGAAAACTCACAGACTGTATTATATGTTATAACAAGCATCTGATTCTCCACTCTGGTTAGCTGTTAAAAAAAACAAAACTAACACTATAATAATATTAATAAAACAGCAAACACTGTAGAGTCTCAATAATACAAATAGTCCTAAGAGCTTTAAATGCATAACTACAGTCATCGCAACAAAGTGAGAGGCAGTAGTATTATACCATTTTACAGATGAAGAAACTGAGGCAGAGGGAGAATTAAATAATTACATAAAATCACACAGACAGTCAATGGCAGAGCCAAGATTTGAAACCAGGCCATCTGGTTTCAGAATTTACATTCACTCCAGAGGCAGCAGTGACCACTTTCTTCTCTTTGATCTATATCTACCAAAAACTCTAAATACAAAATAAATGTTCAAGGTGGATTGCAAGAGTATCTTGTTTTGGGTTAATTGTGATCCCCAAACTGCAAACTATATCAAGTTGGAAGGTACAGGTTCCGGCCCATTTCTGGGTGCTGGCCAGGTAATTTGTGCAGGTGTAGTCACTTCAAGATTGGATCTGAATAGCAATCTTTGAATGCCAAATTTAGCTTCTAGAGAGCAGGGATTCTGGGCTCTGTACACAGTGCATCCCAGGGACGGGGCAAGTGAGCAAGGCAAGTGGCATGGTGCCCTTGCATGCAGCCTCTGCTGTCAGAAATGTGGAGATGCTGGAAGCCTCTTCTCACCCTCTCTAATCCTCAAAGTGCATCCTTCCTCTTTCCACTCAGCCAGCACAGGCAGGGGGATGATAAATGACATATGGGATCATGAACATTTGGTGAGAAATGATGTTGATTTAAAATTATTAAAGCATCACCAAAAGTTTGGGTAGGAAGATATCTTACCTTCATAAGATCACCAGTTATTACTGCCTGCAAAATTGCTGTGAAAGACAAAAGAGAGATGTCCCATTAGTCAAAGACCCTCTCATGAAAATACTACAAAGAGCTGGATCTATATTTTGAAGAAATCATCTACATTTGGGGCAGGAATCAGGAAAGGAGAAGCATGCCAAAGAATGAGCCTTGAAGTAGACTAAGTCTTCCTATTAAGCCTCTTCTATCCAAGTATCCACCCCACCCATCATGCTAGACCTGAGTCCCTTCTATCCCTGGTGGAGCAAAGAGAGAGTTGGAGTCACATGGATTGAGTTCCATCTTAGCTCTGACATTTATAAGTCATCGAACATGGGTGAATACTTCAAACTTTCTGAGCCTCAGTTTCCACATTTGTAAAATAGTAAGTGAAAATCTCATAGGATTACTGAAATGATTAATTTAATCATGAAAATGATACTAACTCATCAATGGATGCAGACTAAGTATATGATTGTGACTGTTTTTGCTCCCTTCCAATAGTTTCTTCTACTTTGTCCTCTTGGTATTCAAGAAATTACCGGTCATTTTTCTTGTGCGTACTTTAATAATGAAAAATCACCTATTGCTTTGGCTATCAGGAGAACCACAGTCAAGAAGAAAAAAGTATATTTCAATTATGTTCTGAAGAAAATAACCATGCATTTAGCATCCACTTCATTGGTGATGCTTATGGAAAGAACTCCAGAAGTCCTAAGTAACCTAAATTCCTTAAGCAACACATAATTTTAGGATAAATAAGTGCCTAATGATATGTGTGTGTCACAGGGTACAGAGGGGATTGAGAAAATATGTGATCTAAGGCAAAAAAAGCAAAAATAAACAAGGGGGCTACATCAGACTAAAAAGCTTCTGTACAGCAAAGGAAACCATGAATAAAATGTAAAGACAAAACTCTTCCAATGGGAGAAAATATCTACAAATCATTTATCTGATAATGAGTTACTCTCCAGACTATAGGGAGAGCTCATCTGACTCAACAGCATAAAGCTGAACAAGTAAAAAAATGGGTGGGCAGAGAATGTGAAGCGATATTTTCCCAAAGGTGACATGGAGATGGCCAACAGGTTTATGAAAACATACACAACAGCCCTAATCACCAGGGAAACGCAAATCAAAACCACAATAGCCTGTTAGAATGGCTATTAAGGAAAGGACAAGAAATACGCGCCAGTGGGGACGTGGAGGACACGGAACCCGTGCACTCTTGCTGGGAACGTAAATTGATACAGTTACTATAGAAGACAGTATGGAGGTTCCTCCAAAAAGTAAAGAGAATCACCAGATGGCCCAATAATCCCACTCCTGGGAATGTTTCCAAAGAAATGAAAACATTAGCTCAAAAATAGAAGTGTGCCCCATGCCCACTGGAGCAATATTCACCATAGCCCAGCATGGACGCAACCTGAATGTCTACCAGAGGATGGATGGACAAAGAAAGTGTGACTATCTGTAACACACACAGAGGAATATTATTATTCAGTCATAAAAGAGGAAATCCTGCTAAGTGCAACAATACAGATGATCTTGTGAGCATGATGCTAAGTGAAATGAGTCAGATAAAGAAAGATAAACAGCACATGATCTCACTTATGCATGGAATCTAACACAACAAGAACCAAAATCAAAGATAAGGGGACAGATTGCTTGTTGCCAGTGGAGAGGGTGGGAGTGTTGTAGGTGAAGGGGGTCAAAAGGTACAAACTTCCAGTTTCCAAATAAATGTGCTGGGGAGGTCATGTTTGGCACGGGGACTACAGTTAATAGCTTGCATTTTATATTAGATAATCACTAAGAGAGTTGATCTTAAACGTTCTCATCCTGAGAACATGCTGACAATGTGCCCACTGCGGTGATCATCCAGCAATACATACACGTGTTGACGAGTCATTGTTGCACACCTGAAAATCACAGACTAAATGCCAATTATTTCTTAATTAAAGATAAGAATTGCCTACTGACAATTATGGTTCTTAAAGGAAACACCTGCATTGGGTTGGAAACAGTCCCTTTAGAAAAATACCTTGATTCTAAAACTACCAACAACAAATAGATTAATTTAAGGCTTTGTCACAAAATTCTAGGAAAAAAAATTCAAATTTATTTTTCAAAGTCTCATGTCTTCTTGTCTGAGTAGTTGCTAATCGAGCCAGCCAGAAGCGTATTCTCATGGAACCCCTGGCTATTGCTGAGTTGAGCTCACAAAGTTTTTGTACGCACATCAGAGACCTGGGTCACACAGGTCTCAGAACCTCAGAGGCAGGTGAGACTGGTTCAAAGGGCCTTCTTCTGGCCAAAGCAGAAGCCTTGCAAACCTGTGGAAATAATGAGGGCTCTTGCACAAGGGAGGAAGAAAGAATGGAGGAGAAAGGAGAACTGGAAGGTGAGACCATGTCCTTTCCACCCCCGGCTGTAAGCCATGGACTCTCCCCAGGGCTGCAGCACCTGCTTGCACATCACCCATGCAACTGGTCGTTAAACTGATAGAAAAGACAGATGAACAAGGAGTGAGAAGAGAAAGAGAGAAAGAGAAATAATACAAAGGGAATGAATACAATGTCATGTGTCCTAAGAAAAGATGTGTCCCCCTTTTCACTTGATAGATGGGGAGAATGGGGCTCAGAGCAAAGAGGATATTTGGAGGGAGAGCCAGTCCGTATGTCCAGAGCCCCGGGGGCTCACTCTGCAGTGCTCCAGCGAGCAGTGGGCGCCAGGGAAGTTGGAAGGTGGGAATCTGGAGAGGTTCTGAGGGGTACAGTGCCATGGAAACAGATTAGGGGCTACACTTACTAGACACACGAGGTGTTTGTTTTTTTGTTTTTTATTTTTGTGGGACCCTCGCCGGCAACTGGGAAATGAACTGGTGCTGCCTCAACCGCTGCGCCACCAGGGGAGGCTCTGGACACACGAGTTTAAGAAGTCATTCCATCTTTTTGAACTAATTTTCATTTTTGTAGAAGAAACCTAACGGCTGCTCTGTTTAGTAAGGATAAAATGGAAAAACAAACCCAAAAAGGCTTTATAAATAGCTACATTAGCAGAAGGGATGGTTTTCTGAACTTTGGGGACTTCATGTAAGGACATGAAAAAGACATACAGACATTTCAGGAAGAGCCTGGCAGTAAGAGTAGAACTGGGATGTGAAGCCAAGGGTACACGTGGCTCCCAGGGTGGCACCCCCCAGGAGACCCAGGGATGAAGGCACCCATGGTGGGTCTGGGGGGCGGGGAGGGTGCTACAGTCCAGCTTGGAAAGCCCCCATCAGAGGATGGGGAGGGAGAGGCAGGAGGAAATGTATCAGCACTTGCAGGCCTGGGGGAACACATCAGTTGGATTTTTACACTATAGGATTTTCACACTCTTGGCTGAAGCAGCGTGTCCATATCAGGGAAGAAATGAGGTTAGGGAGCCTGCAGGAGGGTGGTTAATGCAGAGCCTTGGAATCACACACAGAAGTTCAGAACAGCATAGAGCCAATCTTTTCAAAAGCATATTGAAACATTTTCCAGAATGAACAGAAAAAAAAGAGAGGGAAATAGAGAATCAAGGAGAGAGACAAGAAAAATGAATTCATTAGCTAAAGTACCTGCGCGAGGAAATTTGGCACTTGTCAGCATTAAATCAAGACAATGAGACTGTCTTCCCCCAAACAAAGTCATTCTAAGGAGCACTCTGAATTGGAGGAAGGGAGGGTTATTGGCTAACTGTGGCATTCACGGAAGATTTCTTAGAGGAGGTGAAATTTAAGCTGACTCTTAGATGATACATAGAATTAATTAGCCAAGAAGGTTTGGAAAACCTGACAAGGTGAAGGGAGGACGCGGACAGAGCCCTGGAGTTACAATGGCCCCTGAGGGAACCTGCAAAGAACCCCACATTCTCTCCGGTAACTGCTGCAGAATCGCCCAGGGGCCACACCACTGAGGCCTCTTATGTCAAGACAGGACACTGGGATTTTATCCCACAGGTGATGTGAGGCTACTGAAGAATAAGGGGCCATGAATGTCCTCAAGCACGCGGTTAGATTCTGCTCCTTTCCGGGCAATAAAGTATGACCTGCTCTCGGCTTTTCTCCAGATTCCCCATCTTATAATGTCCTCCCATTTCTATCTCAGACTTACCCACAAGCATTATTATTTAGTTTTTTGGCTTCCAACAGCCTCCCAATTTAAAGTCCTCATGAACAGCTAGAGGATCATATAACAGAATCATAAAACCACAAATAATTTCCAACTGTCTGAAGGTGGAAAGCATGAATATTTACTTTCAAGCCCAGCAACACACCCAAGGGTAACTATTAGGCAAACATTATTAGGCACGACGCCCACTTCTCTCTCCTGATTAATGTCCTTCTCTATAAGCTCTGTTGTTGAAGATTCCTTTGCAGAAAGAGCTTGACTCCATTAGTATTCAACTCCAGTTAATAACCTTGAGAAAGATCACACTTAAGAACAAATAATGAGTTGTTATGATGACAGTGTCGTTCTTTATTATTCCTTGAGTTCTATATTTGCTTCCTTGCCTTTTCCAAAACCCCTTCATGCCCTGGAAAACAATGTTTTCAAGTTCAAAAAACAAAGGGAAATCCAAATGTCAAGGGAACATAAAGTTTTGGGTAGATACATAACTAACTTCCAGGACAATTAAATCATGTAAACTTAAGTAGTTAGACCGGGAAATAATGAGGTAGAAAGCTGACAAGTTTGCCACTTTTAGAGGTTACAGGTTGAATCATTAGTTCACCTGAAATGGTTTATTTTCCTTCCCATGCTTCGGGCATTTCCTTCAATGCCTTCCAATAAAGTTCTATCCAGTAAACACCCGGAGACAGAACACTAGACTGGGAAGCCAGAGCTCCAGGAAGGGATAACTTGTCTTCCTTCTCAGCCCAGATTCCCAGGAATCCAGATGATCTCAGACATCTGAGCATGGAAAGAAGAGAGGGCTTCTGCAGCCTGCAGCCAGCAGCAGGGAGAACGCCCTGGGGCCACTGACTGGCCCCTTGCAG